CCGGCCGGAAACCTCAAACCACGCCAGCCAGCCTAGCGCCGTGCCCCACAAAAGCTACGGTCCCCTCGCCTCTTCCCGCAAGAGGCCCCTGCCAGAGGAGGCCGCAGCCACAGCCATGGCCACGGCCGCAGCTCACGAGCACCAGCCCAAAGTCAGCAAAGCCTCCAAGGGCCCCGGCATGCCGTTCCCTTACCCCCACCTCCCCGGGGCGGCCCACCTCCCGGGGCACAGCTCGGATGCGGGCAACCTCCCTTTACCCCAGGCCAACAAAGCCCGGGGCACCCACAGCAAATCGGACAAGGGTCCCACGGGGGCCAACGGGCACAATGCCAGCCAGGCCAGTGACTACCAGGATACGGTCAATATGCTGCACTCGCTGTTGAGCGCGCAGGGCATGCAGCCCACCCAGCCCCCTGCCTTCGACTTCCACTCGTATGGCGAGCTCTTGAACCCCCGGGCTTCCACCAGCTCCAGAGCTGCCGCCAACACGGACAAGCCCCGACCACCCCCCCTGCCCTCAGAACCGCCCCCCCCGCTGCCCCCGCTCCCCAAGTAAAGCCCCTTTTTACTACTGAGTTTGTAACAGAGCCCCAGCCCAAACCTGGGCTGCCCCTGCGGGGGGCCTGAAAGGGCTTGTTCGATCTCTACTGCCTCACGAAGAACTATTTTATTATATAACTTTTATTATTGATATTTAGAGCGCGGAGTTGTTGAAGCTGTGAAAGGCTAAGAAACCCTTTCTCTGTTCCCTGCTCCCTCCCCCATCGACTTCCAGTTAGTGGTGGGCTCTGTCCCTGCTGGAACTAAAGCCCCCTCTGGGGAACACGCATTGGGGGGGGCCTGGGGGGTATTTAAAATATGTCACAGAAAATTTAAGATGTTTTACAAATAATTTAAGCAGTAACTTATATCTTAGTGTTTTGTTCCTTTTAATTCTGTGGTGCTGCGGGGGACCCCGGGCGGCGTTCAGGGTGGCTCAGCAGGTGGCTCCGCTTGAGCTGTTGGTGACAGAAAGGGGGTTCAGGAGGTTTTGGGGGATGGAGGGGAGGCGGTGGTGTGAGGGAAGGGCAGGGACTGGAGACCGCTCAGGTGGGGGGGTGTGAGGGAATCCCAGCTGCAGCGTCCGTGGGGGGACGGGAGCTGCTCTACCTGCTGGGGGTCTGGTTTCCTCACTCCAAAAGCTGCTCTGGTTTTGGGATCCTGTCTCTGTCCCTTGCTCCGCTCCTGCGGGTCCCACCGCTTCCGCTGGAAACCCTGGCTGTGGTGGGGCTTCAGGGGCAGCGCCTGTGCCCGGGGCTGCTGGGGGCTCGCGGTGGCGTGTCAGGGTGTTGGAGGTGACTGCCTGGGGGCGCTTGGCCCAGGGCTGGCCCCCCGCCTCCTCCATGGCTGCTTTTTGGATG